GGGGGCTGAGGTCGAAGGTCACGTCTCGGACAGTGTCAAGCCACCCGACGCAGCCCCTCCCGCCCGGGCCGCCGGCCCTCACCCCTCTTCTTCCTGCCGTCGGGAATGATCTTCTGGGCGACCCGCCGCCAGCGGACAAGGGAGCTCAGCAGCGTCAGCTTGGACAGGACGGAAAGGTCGTTGCAAACGTCCGGCCGCAGCTCGTTGAAGAGGAACCGCAGGCGCTCGATGACGGGCGCGCAGACCTCCTTGTAGGAGCGGCCTGCTCCTGGTGCGTCTACCCGTCAGAGACGAAGGGACGACTGAACCACGGACCCTCGACCGACCGGCCCTCCGTCCGCACAGCCGAAGGAGCGTCAGGACCGACCCACCTTAATGAGCGAGCACTTGGCCTGGTAGACAACCCGGCAGACGTCCACCACCGACTTGGGCAGCGCTCTGTGCTTCGCCTGCTCGACCCCGAGCGCGCCGGCGTGGACCAGAGACAGCGCCACGTGCCCTGGAGAGACGGGGACAAGGCGCCATGGAACAGCTGTGGCCGGCGCGGGTGTCAGAGGCCTTGGGAGCGAACTCACGGCTCCTACCTAAGTCTTCGTGCTTCAAGAGGCAGCACAGCAGCAGGCGGCCCACTTCCTCCACGGGGTGCTCGGGGGGAAAGCTGATGGGGGTGGTCAGGTGGCACTGCCTGCAGCACCTCTCCACCTGGCACAGGAAGTCCTGCCACAGACCGCAGGGGGGTGACTGTCGACACCGAGCGCGCCGCGGCTCTAACCCCGGGCACAGCCCCATGCATGGCCACCAGCAAGGCTCCCACACCCTCGCGGGCACGTCACGCCGACTCCCCCTCATCTCCACGCAGCCCCCCAAGAACCCGTCAGCCAAGCTCGGGAAGCTGAAGGAAGAGCAGACGGTGCTGGCCTCTCGGCATCCTGAGCGACACAGACACCCCCTGGGGGCGCCTCACCTTCACGTTGTGGTCCTGGATGCTGTTGTCCGCCAGGGCTTGCAGGAACGCCTGGGAGTGGTCGCCCAGGACGCGCGAGTGGGCGCAGAGGCGGGACTTGCTGGCAGGGGTGCCCCCGGGGGAGCTGCAGTGGTCCTCGTCCTTCTCCTCGTTGTAGCTGTAGTGGGTCTGGCTGGTCTGCAGGCCTCCCGAGAAGATGGACGACTGCAGCCACTCTAGGGAGCAAGCGCACGGACAGCAGCCTGAGGCGCCGTTCCCCAACCCCACGGAGAGCAGCAGGGCTCAGCGGGAAGCCAGCTCTCCCGTGACAGACGCCGGACCACCCACCCCCTTCGCTCCGCCGCGCCCGGCAGGGCTCCCTGAAGGGAGGCGTGGGCAGCAGTCACAGTGAGACCACGGAGCACACAGCACGGACAGGTCCTGGGAGCCCGCACCCCGTGGGAGGCAGGGACTCCACATAGGCACAGACGGTGGCCCCGCAGATGTTCCTCAAGAACTGTGCCCCCAAAACATCCTCCCAGCCCGATAGTCAACCCCGAGGCCCTCTGTCCTCCCCCCGCACGCAGGGCTCAGCGCTCAGGAGCGCTCTGCAAACGCCACCGGCTCCTGCACACATGAGCCCTGAAACAGCCGGGGCCAGAGAGTGGGAGCGAGTGTTTCTTACTGGCGCATTCGACCTCCACGGGCGAGAGCGGTGTGCTCAGGGCGAGGTAGGAGGCGTGCAGCCCGAGCAGCAGGCCCAGGTTCCTCTCCGTGTCCATCAGAGGGGAGGACAGGCTTCCCAGGTCCGGGACGGTGACGACTTCCTGGTCGGGCTGGGGAAGAGGGACCCCGTCAGGCTGAGGAAGCGGCCGCCCACAGCCACAGCAAGACGCGCACCAGCTTCTGTCCTCGACCGGCGTGCGGCGGGAGGAAGACGGCGCTCGGGCCCCGCGCCCACGCCCTGCGCGAGCAGCGCTCCCGCCAGAAGACACAGACGACACACAACCCGCGGCGCTGCAGCTCAGGCTCCCGGGGGAGAGCTGCTCTGCTAGGACAGGCCCCGGGGGACCCACAGCAGCTTCCGAGTGACAGGGGGCCATGCGTCAGAAACCATCCCTAACGGCTCCATCCAAGCCAGAGAGAAACCAAGTATGAGTGACAAGAGCCGCTGTGAGTCCGTCACCCAGAGGTTCGGAGGAAGTGAATGTGTTCACACAGCTAGAAAGGCAGAATGCGGGTGACAACACTCCTACACTGTGGTCACATTAGACAATTTACAAGAAAGCTAACTTCCCTTCATGAGCGCTCCAGCCCTGTGCCCAGGGCACTCAGCACATCCTACAGCCTCGGGATCCATCCACAGAAACCAAACCGGGCCACGCACGCCAAGGCTCACGAGTACGTAGGAGGACATGTTTCTATTAGGAGGAATTATGCCACCAGGCAGTTCTTCCCAAAACATATGGTCCGGCATTAAGCTCAAGATAGTAAGCCATCCCCAACCGCTACATAAGCTTACAACCTCTTTTTATGTGTGGAACTGTCTACATTTCTTACAAATTGACAACCTTAAAAGTCATGTTTTCAGAGCAGCACGTGACAAACCTCGTCATGAGTGAAGGCACTTGCTTCTGTCTACCGCGCAGGGCACTGCCCTCCCCGCCCCTGCGAGAGGCCCGCGCTCGGGGCAGGGTGCCCGCCAGCCCTCGGCCCAGCCTCACCTCCAGGTACTGGCCCACGCAGAAGGCGTGCATCGACTCCCGCGTGTCCTCAAACTGCAGTGCGGCCTCCAGCGCCACCACGGGGTCCTCCCCGGCAAACTGAGCTGAAACAGAATGGATGCGGCGACTCCACAGGGGGCCCACCCTCCACGGAAATGGAGTCAGCGACAGGAGGTGGACCGGCAGGTCGGCGACCTCTCAGCCTCTCCCAGGGCTGCCGGGGCCAGGCAGGCCTTGGAGCACGCGCCAGTGCATTGTGGTGGAACAAATCATGCAAAACGACAAGAAGTCCTTCAAATGCCCCCGAGTTCCATGACAGGACAGTCACCGAGAGTTTAAAATGGGGGCCAGGGCTAGACTCTGGGTGGTGACCACACAACATACAGGGGATGTGACGGAGCTGTCCACTTGAAACCTATGCAACGTCATAAACCAATGGAACCGCAAGAAGTTCGATAAAAATAAACACACGAAAGGAAAGCCTGAGGCTCTGCTTATGCTGACACGCGGGAGGGCTCAAGGGCGGGGCCGCGAGGCCGCTCACCGAGGATGCTGCTCCCGCTCAGGGCCTGGGCCTGGAAGTCCTTGATGTCGTACACCCTCCCGTCGATCACCGTCCAGAAGCCCCCGTCCTTGTTGTGGTTCTCCAAGTCCGCTTTGCGGATCAGGGTCACCTCCTCGTTGTTTCTACAGTTCTGACCTGTAAGAAACGACTCTGTAAACACAGAACCAGGGGAATGCATCAGACCAGCAGGAGCCACGGCGAGAACAAAGGCTGTGAGAGACACAAGGGGAAACACTTCCGCACCAGGACGGGAGGCGAGCACAGCCTGCTGCACGGTCCCCCCCACGGGACCAGCAAGGACACAGGGATCCGCACACTAGGGTGCCTCGGCGGAAGCCGCAGGACCAGCAAATCTGACCACAGACCAGGGAGAGGAAATCTCCACCGAGCATGTGCACAGGACCGAAATGCAGTTACATTAGAAGTAGCCACAGGCGTAGAATAAAAATTCTCTACAGGGTTGAATATGACGAAATATATTTTATAAGTCACTCAAAATTCCTATAAAATGAAAGTTCTTTAAACTTTAAAGGCGATTTGTTAATTGGAAAGCACTATTAAATTATCATGTAAAACTTGCTTTGGTCATTTTTTTCCCATTAAAAACAACCACCACTGTGTAATTAGTCCCAATGTTCACTGACATCAGTGATTTCAGATACGGCCGCCTGGGTTTTCTCTCTTCATTCTGTGATTTTCTTATTGCACAGACGTGGCCTCCGTGTGATGAAATGAAAGCTGAACCACAACTTAACTGGACGAGTCTGGAAGGTCCCACCATAGAGAGGCGGTTACTTAGATTCAAAACGGCAGCTCGAGGCTCAGAGGAGCTCCCCCCCAACCCCCCGCCATGTGCACGCAGACAGTGGGACGGGCGTGCAGCGGCTGACGGCGTCACGCTGACCGCTAGTCAGCCGTCCCATGTCCACGCCGGCCTCCACAGCCACCCGATCTCACCGCTTCAACGGTACCTTCTGGAGACACCCAGAGAGGATTTCCAGAACTTCCCAAACCACCCCTCCCAGGAGGAACCACCATGACTACGAAACGCCTTCCTTAAACACAACCCCCACTTCCCGACGCTGCCCCGGGCAACACGCAGGCCCTGTCTTCCTGGACAAGCACTCCTCCCAGTGGAGAGGAAGACGAGGGCAGACTGGACAAAACGCGTCCGAAAAGCCCTTGGGGAGAGGCCGTACCCATGATGCCGGGCCAGGCCAGCTCCTCCTGGTCGTCCCGCTCCCTCCCGGGCGCCAGGTGGTTGAAGCGGTCCAGGTGCTCCAGCAGGCCACCCAGCAGCGGCACGGCGCCCGCCTCCTGCATGAGCCCCGCGTTCTTGCTGAGCAGGAGGATGATGGAGACCACCAGCTCTGGAAGGAGCACGCCTGCAGGTGGAAGGGAAACATAATGAAGTGTGCGGTTCAAACGGAAGCGTTTGCCCTACAGAACCAGAGCATAAGCCAGCTCTGTTTACACTCTGATACGTCACAGAATGAGGGATGCTGTTCTTAGCACATCTCCACAGGATCATGTCATCTTTCCTCCTGAAAGAGGCAGGCACAGGCATCGAGCAGAACCCTTTGAGTCAAAAGAACACATTCTAAAACCACTGTCTCAACACCAAAGTATTAACTGGCATCTTTTATCCAGAAAAAAATGTGTTTACAACTAATTCATTAGCAGAAAAAAGTAATAATGACCTAATGTCACAGAAGTAGCTTAAAAGTATATGACGCAATATTGGAATTTACTCAGATCCTGGAAGGGGAGATGCGTCTTGCTGCTGCTGCTGCTGAAATGCAATCAGACAGCCACCACGGACCTCAGCACTGAGGTGTCTGCGATGGTGCAGGACTGTCACTAACCATGGTCATAGCCAATGACTCCCAAACCAGCTGCTCGGGCACAGAGCTGCCAGCAACCACAGAAGCAAAGGCAACGGCCCCGTTAGGAAACGCCTGGGGCCAAGGCGAGCAGGTTTGGGAAATGGTACGTGTCAGCGCTCATGTCTCTGAAAAGAAACACATGCCCGCAGGCGGAAAACGAGAAAGGTACCGGTGAAGTCGCCTTCCACGATGCAGGCCACCTCGGCAAAGTGCCGCCAGCTGGTGGCGGCGACACTGGCGGCCACGGGCAGGATGTCCCCGATGTGCGTGCACAGCAGGGCCGTGTACTTCTTCAGCAGGGAGCCCACGCCCATCAGCTCAGGACCTGGAAGGGAGATTCAGAAAACTGCACTTTTCCTTGTTCACATTCACTTGCTGTTCCCACACCATGTCGGTCTCCATCACTGCCACCTGTGGTGCGTCTGATACGTCGTCTGTCAGACCAACCTGAACTTAAAGGATGCTATTCCTGACGTCTGCAAAATTTTAATGTTAAGACGACGAGAAAAGAAATACTGATGAGTCTAACATAGAAATATTCATTAAAAAAAAAAGTGGAGCAACCTGAGTCCCCCGAATGCTTGCACTTACAGAGTGTGAGCCCCACACACGTGCACGTGCAGCACAGGCGTGTCGCACCGCCTGAGCACGCAGACACTTACATCTGAAGCCACTTACTGGGAGCGTCGGCGGGCGGACCAACACTTTCTCCTGGATACAGTTTACTGATCAGTAAGCGCTGAAAACGCAGCAACAAATCCAAGGAGGCGGATCGGTCCCGACTGTGCTGCTCCACGTCCAGGCAGGACGAGATCCGACGGGCCACGTCTTTCAGTCTGGCTACCGTCTGGGCAGCAATGTTCCTGCAGAGGAGAGAGGCGCAAAGTGAAGCAGGCGTGGGCGTCCACACAGTGAAGGTGCTCGAAACAATCACCACAGACCGGGTCAGACGGCAGCCTGTGCCGAGCTGGCTCGCTGCCCCGGGAGCCAGGGTGCCTCACGGGGAGCGGAGGCACCGAGAAGACGCCCCAACACAAGGGCGCCCCTGCCTCCCACGTGACTCCGAGGCTGCGGCCTGTCCTCTCACCTGTGCTGAGAGCCAGCTCTTTACACTAGAACCTGCCCAGGCCATTTTCAGAACATCTCCTCCACAGCCAAGCACATCTAGGCTCCCAGTGCTCAGCTCACCATCTTCCAGGGAAAACCCAGGACCCGCCGAAGAACACCCAGCACATTCACCGAAGCAGCTGCTGCACGAGCTGCACCAGAGGCAGACACTGCTTGCCCGAGGCCTCGTAGATCCCCGTGTTGATGAGGTCCTTGTCCAGCGGGGTCCTGCTTCTATGCGATGCTGAGGCGTTTGCTTCCTGCTCATCGATCTCTTTTTCCTTCTGTGCTTCTTTTTTGGCTTCAATATCCTGCAGTTTATAAAACAGAATCTGGTTACGTTATCTCGGAAACCGGCGTGAAGGCACCTGGGCTGGCCCCACAGCCTGGCCGCCCCTTAGTGACACCCACACCAGGTGACCCTGGCCCCACACACCTGCTGAAATCCCGTCACCCAGTTTCTAAACAGACTCTGTCCCACAAACCACTGTCCAGGCTGCCACAGCTGCTCCCCACCCACTCTGAGGAGCCCCTGGAGGCTTTGCTCTGCCACAGGCTCTTACAGGCCACCAGTGAGATCTGCCCCCCCCGCCCCCCGAATATCTGCTTTGCGGACATGAAGCAACAACCCACAAAATGGGAGGGTATATTCTCAAGTCACATCCTATATAATAAAATGCTAATATGCAAATCGACCCAACAGCAGAACCACCAGCCGCTATGATGTTCACTGACCACCAAGGGGCAGACGCTCAACGCAGGAGCTGCTCCGGCTGGCGAGCCCAGTGGCGGTGGTGGTGGGAGCCTCTCCTGCCTCCGAGGCAGCGCTAAGGAGCAGCGCGCCCGGTTTCTGACTGAGCGGCTCTCCCACAGGGAGCCAGAAGCTGGGCTCACAGCTGGTGAGTGCAGCGGCGGTGGCGGGAGCCTCTCCCACCTCTGCGGCAGCTCTAAGGACCCCTTGGGGGATGTCTGAGCTGGCAGGCGGACACCCCCCGAGGAGTCCCAGACTATGAGAGGGCGCAGGCCGGGCCGAGGGACCGCCCCCCAGGGCACGAGTGTCGTGCACCAGGCCTCTAATATCAGATAAGAGACGTGTGTCCAGAACACAGAAGGAGTTCTTACATCTCAACAATTCTAGTTAAACTGAACCCAATTTAAGAACAGGAGAAGGACTAGATGACATATCTTTAAAGAAGATACACAAAGAGCCAGTAAGCACATGGTCAGCTGCCTGGAGTCAGCCCACCTGCCCCTCGCCCGTCGGGACCCCTCTGCAAGTCACCACGTCTGTGGCACTCGTGTCCCGTCTATAAAATGGAATTTTAAAATAACGTGGTCCACGCCACAGGGCTGAGAAGGTCAAAAGAGGAAACGGAAGGCAAGCACACGGCACAGCCTGGAGAGGAGGGCACAGCGAGCGTGGTGGTCATGACTGCATCACCACGTCTGCACACCTTCTAACTCCCGCAGCGTGATCAGAGCATTTGAGTATGTTTTCAAAGACATGTTTCAATGCACTTACTTCATCTAATTTTATCAATGTAAGTTTTTACATAAAAAATGATTACAACAATGAAAGCAACAAGAGCAGCTATGGACGGCCAGGCAGCACCTGAGAGACCAGTGAAAGCCACGCCCCCTCGGACACGTCGGTGGGTCAGGGAAGGGCTGGAACTCAGGCGCTCGGAAGGGAACGGCACAGCCTCCTTGGGGACTGTCAGCACCGATCACCCAGGACCCAGGACCTAACTCAGCGTTTACTAGAGAAGGGAGAGCATCCACTAGAGGACGTGTGCGCAGCCTGTCAGAGCAGCTGTACAAAGTCCGACTGTTGACAAACAGGAGAAGGAACAGAGAAGTGGGGCCACCGTCACACAACCAGTGCCAACAGGGAAAGCCCCGTCACGACACACCTGCAGAGACGAGCCTGAAGACCGTGATCCCGGCAAAATACAGCGACACAAACAGGACCTACTCAGTGACTGCACCTGGGACACAGCACTGGCACCTGCACTAGGAGGGGAGCCCAACGCCCGGGGCAGGAAGCGATCCATGACACGGTCCCGTGTCTGTCACCACCACTTGCTGAGACACGTAAAGGGAGTGCATCGTATCGGACTTGACCCATCAAAACCGCTTACACAGAGAAAGGACTGAGCCACAGAACACATCTGGATGGGACCCAAAGTCCCGCTTCGGGTTCTTAGTAATTCCTGCAAGAGGAGGTTTGCTGCTTCCTCCCCAGCAGGACAGGGTGCCCAGCCGTCTCCCTGCCGGGGACACGCCCGGCCGTACCTGGATCTCTGCAGTGATGGCTGCAGTCAAGGCCGACTCCAAGCCTCCGTCCGCCATCAAGCTGCCCACCAGCAGATCGATCATGAACCGGCGGCCTGGACTGACATTGACCTCATTGCCGGAAACTGGAAAAGGAACGTTTTCGCCTATGTGAGTGGAGGCAATCCCCTCCCGGCCCCTCCCCTCCTCCCCTGCCCCTGCCCCGCCCCCGCACCTGCACAGGGCAGGAGAGCCGAGAGCGCCCGGGCCCGCTCCTCGGCGGTGGGCAGCAGCACGGACCACCCGCTCTGCAGCACGGCCTGGGCGGCCGCCTGCACAGTGCCCAGCACGCCCGCACTGCTGGCCAGGGCCACCACGGTCTGCTTCAGGCTGTTGAGGAGGACGCTGCCCAGACCTAAACCAAGCAACTCTGGGTCAACCTGGTGACTAATGGCAGCATGCAACTGAAAGGACAAAAACAACCGTCACTTAGCGCCCGAAAGCGCGGGTTTCCAATCTCACCAAAAAGACAGAACACCTCCAATTGCGTTTTATTCAAAGGTTAAAGGAGAAACTTCAAGGACGTGTATTTTTAAAAGTAGACTATAAACATTTTCCCCAGAATGGTTGAAAACCCATGGTAAGGTATTTTATGAGGAATATTTAACACCCAACTATACTTACATGGAAATACTTATTATGTACTCAAGAAGAACAGAGGTTAAACCATGTGGAAAACCCACCCCAACCATCTGCACCCAACACAGAAAAACTACGAATATAATTTAACCTAAAAACGTAAAAAAAGACCCAGCCAAGCTGAGAGTATACTAGGTCCAAACCAGAACTTCCACAGAACACAGCGGAGCAGAACGAAGTCTCAGGCTTGAGACCCAAACTGACCACGATGGACTGACCATGAGCTTCCTGCCAGCCAGCCAGGGCCTGAGGGCAACACACTGCCCAGCCCAGGTTGTGGGTAAAAAGAGACCCTGCCTTGGCCTATGTGGCTCAGCTGGTTGGGCGTCATCCCATGAACCAAAGAGGTGGCGGGTTGGATTCCCGGTCAGAGCACGTGCCCAGGTTGTGGGCCCGATCCCCAGTAGGGGGCGTGCAGGAGGCAGCCAATCTATGATTCTCTCTTATCATTGATGTTTCTCTCTCTCTTCCTCTCTCTCTCTCCCCTTCTCCCTTCCTCTCTGGAATCAATAAAAATGTATTTTTAAGACACCCTTTAGCCTGGGCCAGTGTGGCTCAGCTGGTTGGAGCACCACCCTACACTGAAAGGCTGCAGGTTCGATTCCCTACCAGGGCACATACCTTGGTTATGGTTCGATCCCCAGTTGGGGAGTCTATAGGAAGGCAACCAAGCGACGTTTCTCTTGTACATCAACGTTTCTCTCTACTTTGTGAAGAAAATTTATTTTCTTGGCACTAAGCCACAGAATTACCAAAAAAAAATAAGATCACCAAACATTCAAACATTTTCTTAGCAGTTAGACCGGCTAAAAACCCGCCCCCTCCACTCATAAACGTTCCAACAAACACCGAGACATCTGCTCCCACGGGAGGGGCGCTCTCCTACCTGCAGCCGCAGCAGGTTCAGCGTGGCCACGGCCATGCACTCCTTCTCCTGGGGCGGCGGCCAGTCGGCGGTGCCGTCCATGCCCTCGCTCACTTGCCGCAGGAGCAGGTCCAGCTGCTCAAAGGTCCCTGAGCAGACGTCCACCACGAAAGGGACGCGCAGGCCCACGGACCACTCGGAGCACGAGGACCAAGCGAAACTCTGCGGAGGAGACACGAGAACGAAGACGATCTACACGTTCAGCGACTGGTCTGCTCCCAGCACAGGAAATGACGGGAGACGGAACGGCCCCCTGCAGGACCCAGGCCAGGACACACCCTCCCACTCCTACTCCACATCCCATGAGTCCTGGCCAGTGCCGGGGGCACGGGAAGTAAACGCATGGCACACACATGGAGAGCGTGACACGGCACAGGACATGGGACGGCACACACCGCGGTGGGCGACACAGAACCCACATCCACAGGTCCCAGGCGCAGCCACACGCAGTACCTGGGCCGGCCCACAGGCGATGCCGACGATGTGCTTGGTGTCCAGCCCGGGCAGCAGCGAGGGCTCCGGCTTCGTCTGGTGCAAGGTGTCGAAGTGCTGACACTGGTCGTTGTTCCCCCAGCTGTGCACCTCGCTGTCCTCGGTCAGAGCCAGGCAGTGGGTGGAGCCTGCGGCCACATCGATCACCTTCTTCCCTGGAGGGCAGAGAACGCGGCAATACAGACATTTACCCCGGGCACTCGGGCAGGAAGGCAGCCAGGGCACCTTCTAACAGACAACGCGCTGCTCTAACGTTACGCCCAATTCACCTGCTTCAGCTATTTATTAAAACTTGTCATGTTTTATGAGTTACAGTTTACTGAGACCTGCAGCCTGCGAATAAAATAATGCCAGGGCATAAAGAGAAGCTGTTGCTTCTTCCTCCTTATTCAGATTTTCAGCTTCAGAGACAAGTGTATTCTTTTAAATATATTTCTATTGACTTCAGAGAGGAAGGGAGAGGGAGAGATAGAAACATCCATGATGAGAGGGAATCACTGACTGGCTGCCTCCTGCAGGCCCCCGACGACGCTCTATGCACGGGCCAAACCGGTGAGGGCGACAAGTGTATTTTTATTAACTACTTGGTCATACTCTCCCGTCCCAAGGCACGGTCGTGCCAAGGAGACTCTGTTCTAAGAGCAGTTTTAGGGTCACAGCGCACCCCCCCATGCTCGCTCACCTTGCAAGGCCTCCAGGAGCTTGGGGTAGCGCACATGCTCCTCGGTCCCGTGTCCGAGCCGCTGGTTGTCCCCTTTGCCCCAGGAGTACACCTGGCCGTCTTTCGTCAGAGCCACGGAGAACTGGCTGCCGCACCGAACTTTGACGACGTCCAGGTCCTGCAGCTTCTCGATCAGCTTGGGCGTTTTGCAGCCGTCGCTGCCCCCGCGGCCCAGCTTCCCGTAGTCCCCGTCTCCCCAGGACCACACCTGACCTAGAGACACAGGCCTCTCAGGACGAAGCCGCAGGTCTGCGTGGGACTTTAATCCCCACAGCCCCCAGCACCCAGATCCAGACCACGGATGAATACAGCTCATGCTGCACGGGCAGGGGGGTGGGGGGGAAGGGACCAAATGAAATCTAGTTTATACTTCAACACTTCAGCTAACGCAGAAGCAGTTGACCAGGGGAGAGCGTGGTTTCTTCTCATCTCACTACATGAGAAACAAAGTCCCAGCCCTGACAGAGTGAGCTCAAGGCCGTGCTTCCACCGAGACTGCGAAGCTCCCGCCCCCCCTCCGGGAAGCGGCCCTCCCCGTCCTGAGAGCGGTCGGGCCTCGGGCTCCACGCACCGTTGTCGGTCACGGCCAGGGTCTGGGCGTCCCCGCTCCCGCACGCCACGTCGATGACCTTCAGGCCTTTCAGCCCGGCGACCAGCATCGGGATGGCCTCGTCCTCACTGGAGCCTGCAAACACACAGGCTCCGTGACGGCCGGTCCCGCACAAGAGGCCCCCCCGCAGGCTCGGCGGGCGCGGCGCCCACGCACCGTGGCCCAGGCGGCCGTAGTTGCCGCGGCCCCAGGTGTACAGCTCGCCCTCGGCGGTGATGGCTGCGCTGTAGGTGCTCCCGCAGGCGATGTGCACCACGTGCTTGCCGGCCTGCTTGCCGGAGAAGGCGGAGATCACCTTGGGCTCCTCCAGGGGCCTGTGGGGAGAGAAGCTGCTGCCTCCTGCCACGAGGAGGGAATAGAGCCCTCCAACACCTCCCGGGCGCTTGTTAAGCGAGTGCCCAATGCCAAGCCCGGCATCCAGCGGGAAGAGCGAAGTGGTGCTGTGAGGACGCACGGAGCTGTTCCAGACTGGCCTCTGAACCCCCCGTCACCCACAGCCCCACGCGGGGTGTTCAATGACTGACTTCTGACCCTGAGGAAGCAACACTACAGTTCAGTTAGGAGGGGACCTCGTCACGCTGAAGACACAGGACTGGGGCTCTGCTCCAGAACACTCCACGGGGTGCAGAGCGTGGTGAAAGCGGGGACAAGAGCCACAAGTGCTGCAGCTGGGGGAGATGCCACCCCGTGCTGGGCACCCTTGGCGGCGTCTCCCGCCCAGCCCTGCGTGTCGGAGTCGCTGGGAAACACGGAGAGCGTGGTTAGAGGGTGGCTGCACGTACACGGTGTCCCCGTGGCCCAGCCGGCCGCCGTCCCCGCAGCCCCAGGAGTACACCTCGCCAGTGGCGGCCAAGGCCAGGTAGTGGTGGCCGTCGGAATGGGCTGCAATCTTCACGATGTTTCTGGAGGCAAGACCCTGGACCAGCTGTGGGGCCTAATGGACAAGCACAGGAAGACGTGACCGTGAGTGAGCCCGACAAGGAGCAGCACGCTCCCTTCGGTCCGCTGCCCACCCTACCAACCCCAACGACCCGGAAGGACCCGGGCCTCCCAGCACCAATGGAGGCCTCCCAGCACCAATGGAGGCCTCCCAGCGCCAATGGAGGCCTCCCAGCGCTCCGGGCAGGACCAGGCTGCCCGAGCAGCAGTCACTCAGTCGAGGCGGAGAGCACCTCCTTGGACAGGAACTCGCTCGTCCCGACCTGCCACTGCCCCCCGGCCGGACGCCCTCCTGCTTCCTGCCGGGCCCCAGTCCCATGAGCCTGCCCCGCGAGGCAGGTTATGAGTGGGAGCCTCAGTCGGGAGTGTCACCGTGAGGATCCTTGATCGTGGCAGCTAAGGGAGTCTGCCTCACGATCGTGACAAAAGGCTGTGACAAAGGTTTTAAACGTAACAAGTAACAGGCAGCGAACAGACGCTTACAACCTCTGGGCATGGGAGGAGGCACCCACCAGCGTGTCGCTGTTGTAGGCCTGCGTGTACACGCGGCCGTTGCGCGACAGGATCAGGAAGCGCTTCTCCGCACAGGCGATCTGCGTGACGCCCAGGTTGGCCAGGCCTTTGCTCTGGATGGGCCCGATCACGTTGGCGTAGCACTTCCATCCGATCAGCCCCCAGCCGATGACTTCCTGCACAGACCCCTGCGAGGTGGCAAAGGAAGCACACGTTCTCGAGGGCAGCAGCAGAGCCTCTCTCTCGGCCAAAAGAAAGGGCGCTGCAGGCTGGCGCAGCACTGGCCCTGGAGGGCACCGAGGCCCTGCAAGGTAAAGAGCGAGCACGTGCAGAGCGGGCGACTCAGAGCACGGAGCCCCTCGGCACACCCACATCGCCCGTCCTCCGACAAGACCAAGTGACCGAGCGGCTATTTCCACAGCGTTTACTTTTCAGAGCCCATGAAAAAGCAGTGCACGCGGCCCGGCCAGTGTGGCTCCATGGTTGGTGCACCTATGAACCAGGAGGTCACAGTGGTATTCCCAGTCAGGGCACATGCCCGGGTTGCGGGCTCACCCCCCTGTGTCGGGTGTGCAAGAGGCAGCCGATCAGTGATTCTCTCTCATCATTGATGTTTCTCTTTCTCCCTCTCCCTTCCCCTCTAAAATCAATAAAAATACATTAAACAAACAAACAAAAGAGGCGGGAAGGGTAGCGTGGAGCCAGAGGCTCTGAGCCAGCCCCCCCAACACCACCCCGCACACAGGAGTCTGGGGGTGCACTAACGCGGCCATCGAGAACAACGCCGTCGCCGCACACACCTTGTGGGACGTGGGGGAGCTGCACGGTGGCGGCATGCAGGGCGCAGCCAGGCGGTCCAGGTGGGCCATGACCACCACGGCCGTCTGTCGCAGGTCGATGGCGAGCTCACTGTCTTGCGGGAGGACAAGGTACCGGAGGAAGCTCTCGTTGGGGCTTAGAGGGCCCGAAAGCAGCTGGAAGGGAAGCACAGGCCACCTCAGGCAGTGATTCCCCATCGGCGAGCCTGCCCTCCGCCATCAGGTGACAACTGTCGCTGGCGCGCTGACACGCCCCTGCACCCCCCCTGCACACGCAGCCGTGACACGCCTGGCACCGCGCGCTCCGCACCCCAAGGGCCTCGGGACCCAGAGCAGCTTCGCAGGAACACGGCGCTGCCCCACGACCGGCTTTGAGAACTGGAACAAAACCCACTTCTTGTCATCCAACTGCAGCACCTGCTGGAGGAGAGCTGGTGCTGCTGGCGCCTCACTCACGGCCGCCTCGTGACACCAGCATCAGGCAGCTCTCCCCTGGAACGGCTACGGCTCTCAGAGAGGACCTCCAGGAGCGGCCGGGGCAGGGGTCAGACCCAGGGCACGCTCGGCCACCAGCCTCCGCGTTCCCACGACCGGCGACCACCCCCACGGACACGTGCTCTGGCCTTGTTTGCAGAAGCCTGGCTCTGAGGACGACTGAGAAGCGAGGAGCCTCGTGAGGACACTCACCAGGGTGTCGCCCTCTGTGTGAGGGGCGTCCTTGCCGCAGAGCATGTTCTGGAACCGCTGCAGCAGGGGCAGGAGGGGGGCGCTGGTGCCCTGCGCGGACCGCTCGTTGTCCGTCTCCTGAGTCCCACTGTCCCACAACTGAAGCAATAACAGGATGGCCGACAGCATTTGGCTGGAAGAGAAAATACCTTTATTCTCTAGAAAAGCAGATGAACTTTTTTTGGCAATAGCCTGTCAAAAACAAAAGCACGTTGGGCCAGCGTGGCTCAGCGGTTGAGCACCGACCTATGAACCAGGTCAGGGTTCGATTCCTGGTCAGGGCACATGCCCAGGTTGCAGGCTCGATCCCTAGTGGGGGGCGGGCAGGAGGGAGGCAGCCTATAGATGGGGCAGGTGTCCTGACAGGGAATCGAACTGGCGACCTATTGGTTCCTGGGTCAATGCTCAACCACTGAGTCACATTGCCGGGCTCCCTTCCTCTCTCTCTTATAAAAAAGAAAAGAAAAAGAAAAAGGAACAATTCTGAGACTACTAGAAAGGTGAACACAAAACAGGAAGTAAACAAAGCTGAGTGCACCCAGTGTGAAGAAGAGAGCGCCCTGGAAAGAAAGGGCTCTTGGCTATAACCACAGAGGAGTCGGTGAAACGCCAGAACGCACACCAGAGGTTCCGCCGAGGCGTTTCCTGAACGCGGGGCGCGGCGCCTCACCTCAGCGTGCCTCTCTGCACGGCCAGCTCCAGCAGGAGGGCCAGGGCCAGGTGCTGGTCCTGCAGGGGGATGCTGCCCGGCCCCTTGGTGCCAGGCGTCCCGTGAACATCCCTGAAATCACAGCAGAGAGTCAGGAACAAAGGGAGGCGGAGCTTCAGGAGAGCATGCTAAACAACGCAGGATGTTCACGGCTCTCCCAGGGAGACGCATATTCTTCACACCGAGAACCACGGTGCTGAGACTCGCTGTGAAATTCCGTCAGAGACACGTCTCCCGTGAAAGCGCCGCGCCGGGGGCTGTCGGTGATTAGAAGACACAGCCCAAGCCCCGCAGCACAACCTCACCTGTGCTCTACTCACATCACGGGTAGGAGAGTGGTTAGAGCGCCTTCGGGAGTCAGGGACAGGGGAGGGGCTCGAGTAGCCACAGTCCTCTCCCAACTGAAGGGTCAATTTCTAGAACCACCGCGAGTCTACGGGCAATAGGCCTGCGCTGATTTTTATCTGTGATCTAAGAAGTAACGTTAACTTTTCCTGGTTCCCAAATGGTAAGTGACACGTCTTCTTAACCAAGATGGGAAGGCAGTCTTCAAGCACCGCCATTACAGCTCAACTTCTGAAATTCCCTCCACACCCACAGGCCCCAGCCCACGGCGCGCGGGGAGCCAAGCCCATGGTCCTTCGGCGCCGAGACCACAGGAGGCCCTGTTTGCAGGAGAGGACACGGCAGTGACCTTGCAGTGTCTGTGCTGCAGACTCCGTATTGAGTGTGTCTGTGCTGCGGGCTCAGTACTGAGTGTGTGTGTGTCTGTGCTGCGGGCTCAGTACTGAGTGTGTGTGTGTCTGTGCTGCGGGCTCAGTACTGAGTGTGTGTGTGTCTGTGCTGCGGACTCCGTACTGAGTGTGTGTGTGTGTCTGTGCTGCGGGCTCAGTACTGAGTGTGTGTGTGTCTGTGCTGCGGGCTCAGTACTGAGTGTGTGTGTGTCTTTAATTTAAAACCATTAACAAAACACACGGCCCCCACGACCAGAGCTCATGTCCAGCGGGAGACTGGGCGCAGGTGGAAGATGCCGTCTTGAGCAGTCACTCAGTCCTACGTTGCCTCTTAAGACAACGCCCATCACTCACAGGATGGCAGGCACGTTCTCAGGGGGAGGCACAATAGGGGCTCCAATACTTGATGAAAGGCTGAGCCCCGAACACTAAAATGTGTGAAAATGAATCCAAAAGCATCTTCACGTTCCCGCCCACTCCTGGGTCCATCAGGTGTGCAAAGTCAAACGTCTGAAAAGAGCCCAGACCCGGAACCAGGGGCCTGAGAGGGCGGAGGGCACGCAGGAAGCCGCCTGCGGAGCCCTGGCAGCTACAGGCAGCCCGGAGGCAGCGCCCAGCACAGGGCGGAGCGCACGGCACCGCAGCGACCAGGCGTGTGCCGGGGGCTGGAAGGTCGGGGTCACTCGGTAGGTACACGACTGTCTCACCACGTCACCGGCAAATTAAAGAAGTAAAGCTACGGAGAAGGGGAGGAGACCGAGCTCGCCGCAGCGCTCGCGGGAAGACGTGCGGACTCACCCGGTCACGACGGACCTGAGGAAGCGGGTCGCTCTCTCCACCACCTCCAGCCACACGGAGGACACGGTGCTCTCGTCGAAGAGCGAGGCCTCGGGCAGGGCTCGCAGGGCGTCCAGGGACTCCTGCAGCAGCTCGCTGCACAGGTCCGCGTCCTCCCCTGGGCACACACGCGCGTCAGGGAGGCCACCCCGTCCCGGGCGGCCCGAGCCCTCACACAGGGGCCCCGCCCACACTGTCAGCCCCCCACTCTCCTCGCCATGAGCCACTGCAGGGACTCCAGAGACCGATGTTAAAGTCGTCCCCAAGGCAATGCTGCACTTTACGGCTCTCCCAGGAGCAAGTCTAACTTCTTGTTCTCCTAGAAAGTAGTCAGGTCTGAGGCCCTGCAGGGGTTTTTGCACATTTTTAAGAAGCACAGACCTTTTCTCCGTCATGAACAAAGCCAAGGAGGCATCAACAGCCCCTGGCACGGGCCCAGGCCACGTGGGGGGACAGCGAGGAGAGCAGCGGAGCCTGAGCGCAGGCAGCAGCCCCGGGGCACCTACCTGACCGCCAGGCCCTGCGCAGGAAGGCGAAGGCGAAGGACAGAGCAGCTCGGGACCCGACTCTTGCCAGGCCTTCCACCCCTTTGCCTGTGGGCCGGGCGCTGCGGGGACACGGGGGACAGCGGTCAGAGGAGGCGCGCACTGAATCCAGGGGCCCTACCAAGGGTGCATACCCGACGGGGCCATGGGTTTCTTTAGATGGCAGGCTCACCAGGGACTTCCCGTTTCGTGGTTTTTAAAACGCTTACCAAATGCCCTTTGTAAAGGACAAGTATTCTCTTTCAGGAACAGAAAAGAGAAACTTAAAAAGGTTCGAGCCCTGGCTGGTGTGCTCAGTGGGTTGGAACATCGTCCCAGACACACACATAACGGTGACAGGTTCCACTCCCGGCAGGGCACCTGCACCTGCAGGAGTAGCCAATTGATGTTTCTCTCTCTCTCTCCCCCATCCTCTCTCTAAAAATCAATAAAAGTTTTTAAAAAGGTTTAGAAGAAAACAAAGGCTGAAATAATGGTGCAGGTTGAGCCTGTTACTGTATGAGCAAACTGGTGAAGCCATGGCCCAAACGAGAGAAAGCCTCCAGAAGGGGAGGAAAAGGAAGCTTCGCACACCACGAGGCCTGTCCCCACAGCCCCCAGCTCCCCTGCACACGCAGCCGCCTCCACGCGGCCCGGATGGTCCTCACTCGGGGTTACCTTTTCTTGTCCACAGAAGGCAGAGAGCTGCTGCTGCTCTTCCACTTGACCTTGGCGCTCTCCTGGGCCACGGCTCTGTTCAGGGCGATGAAGTAGCGCTCCAGGATGACCAGCCGCTGCCGGAGCCTCAGGGCGGACAGGGTGCTGGTGGCCGCCTGCACGGCCAGGGCCTGCTGCTCCTTCACCAGCACTGAGAGACACTCCTTCAGCTCACCCACGTCTGGAAAACACGACGAGGACCCCGCCCTCAGCAGCCGGGCACAGGCTGTAACGAAGGATGACGGCAGCAGGCCCCCCCCCCGCCCCCCCGCGAGCACCTCAGGCAAACCCAGGGCTCAGCCTGCGCAGCCGAGGTGACTGGGAGCCCTCACAGCCACCGGCAGGGCTGTGTGTGTGTTTCCTGGGGAGGAAACGGAGGCACAGAGAACTCCCACAGTCACCAGGTGAGGAGGACACGCGGGGGCCACGCTTAGCCACCGTGGTAGTCTGACTCTCTGTAAACGTGGTATGAATGTTCTCAACACAAAATGATAAAGTTAGTCATTGCCAGCAGCACATTTTCTAGACAGAGAGAAAATCTCTACCCATTATGTCCATGTTATGAAACCAAATTCAAAATAAAACACTGTCTCTTGCCCTAACCAGTTTGGCTCTGTTGGTTGGGCACGGTCCCATGCCCCAGGAGGTCACTGCTCAGTGGTTAGAGCATCAGCCCGTGCACGGAACCGTGGCATGTTCGATTCCTGGTCAAGGGCACATGCCTGAGTGCTTCAATCCCAGGCTCCTGTTGGGGCATGTGCAGGAGGCAACCAATCGATGTGTCTCTCACATCCATGTTTCTCTCCCCCTCCCCCCTCCCTTGCACTCTCTCTAAAAATCAATGAAGAAAATATCCTCAGGTGGTAACAAAAAACCAAAGGGATGAAACTGGCCCTGACTGGGTGGCACAGCTGGTTGGAGCATCATCCCAAACACGAAAAGGTTGCAGGTTCGACCCCCAGTCACAGCACAAAGGGGGCAGGTAAGGGAGGCAACCGGTGGATGTTTCTCCCTCACATCAATGTGTTTCTCTCTCTCTCTCTCTCTCTCTCTCTCTCTCTCTCCCCGCCTTATTCTCTAAGAATCAATAAACATCCTCAGGTGAGGATTTAAAAAAAAAGGGGGGGAGGGGGGAACAGAAGTCATAGATTACATATTATGTACGGTTTACTACAACATAAAACATTTTGAGTAATATTTTTCTAAATGCCATAACCCCCCAAAAGCCACCGATGGCACCTGGAAAGTGAGGGCCAGCTCAGGCCCCCAGCACCGAGGCTCCGAGCCCTACCTGGCTGCTTGCCCCACACCCAGCTCTCCAGGATGGACTTGGACCTGAGCACAGGTGCAGGGGTCTCTTCTTCATCCTTTTTGTCTTTGTCGTTCAGATCTTCTTTCTTTGTCCCACTTTGAGTATCAACACCATCATCTGAAAAAATTTGTTAAAAATGCTTTTTAATCTATAAATTGCTTTTCAAAATGTAACATCCACCTGTCTGCCTCCCTGCAGATGCCCCTCCCGGAAATGGGAAGGAGACGTTACAACATGGACATAACGGAACGTTTGATGATTATTTTTAATGACATGAGTCATCGCCGTAACAGGCACAGTGCGACTTACGACGAAAGGAACTGCCCATAACCCTTTTAACGAGGAAACCTGTACGGCACTCAAATTCTCTGAAGCAGCTTCCAAATGTTCCATCAACTTCCTACTCCAGTTTACAACTAATAAACGTCGTCTTTGGCATCCACCTACTTGAGTTTCATAGTAACTGCTCTTACCCAGTGATTCCCACTGTGTCCCTGGAAAGGGAGGGTGACTCGGCAACCACTCCACCCCACACCCGCCCTCCTCCACCCCCACTGAGAGCCACTGCTGACGCCAGCACCATGGACAGAGCGCCGGACACAAGGGAAAGCTGAGAACCATGACTTCCCGGCACCGGCCATTTAAAGTCCAGTCAAGAGCCAATGTCATGACACTCCTTACCCAGCAAGTGTAGAAGAATGAACAACTTAACCTTGAAGTGTAAACTCGTCCTGTCTTCGAGGCTCTGTACTAAGTAAATCACTTTCTAACAACACAACTAGAAACTCACTTCTAGTCCGTGGAAGAGAGCACAGTGTGTTACAGACGGCGAGGGGTCTCTAAGGACGCATGGAACCCAGGAGGACGAGCGTGCAGCGGCAGGGCTCAGCCAGGAGCGCGCTGGGGAGGTCGCGTGAACACGTGGACTCTGGCCCTCGCTGTGGAAGCAGCGGTTTAGCTCGGCTTCCTGAGGGCACACGCCCTCCTCTGGTCTGACTCTCCTGGACGAAGGGACAGCCCACACTCTGAGAAGCAAGCCTCCCAGCGGGACTTGGAGCCGTGAGCTGTGAGCTGTGAGCCGTGAGCCGTGCACGTGCCCAGCCTGCGCCAGCCCCACGGCATCCTGTCAGGGGGTGTCTGCCATGGGCTCCAGGGGTCCTGGGGGTGAGAGCCCGTGGGCTGAGGGACCG